GGTTGCCCCAGTGCGCAAGGAGCAGGTATGTGCACCCCAGGCTGCAAGAAAGCCCTGAGGGGGCAATTACCAGGTGCTGCAGTCTGTGTGAGGCCTGGGGGCAGTGGGGCAGAGACATGCTCAGCTGTGGGGTCTGTTTCCTCTCCAAACACCCTGGGCTGAGTGTTGGGATTTGTGCTCTTTCTGCCCTCGTATCACAGGAGGAGGCACCCAAGGGCGAGGGTGCGGAGCAGGAGCCCAGCACTCCTGAAACAGAGGATGACGGGCGGAGACACGGGTTCCTGATCCTGAGCCGGGAGGACTCCACCATGGTGAGGGGCCCTGGCGAGAGGCGTGCTTGGGGTGGGGACCCTGCTGGTAAGGGGTGTGCCTCACCACCCTCGCCCACAGATCCTGCAGACTGGGCAGGAGATCATGGAGCTGGACACCAGTGGCTTTGCCACACAGGGCCCCACAGTCTTTGCCGGGAACATCGGAGACAATCGCTACATCGTGCAAGTGTCACCGCTGGGCATCCGCCTGCTGGAAGGAGGTAGGCCAAGTGGGTGGGCAGGGGCAGGGGCAGTTGTGGGACAGCATGTGCTGACTACCCTGTCCACAGTGAACCAGCTGCACTTCATCCCCGTGGACCTGGGTTCCCCCATCGTGCAGTGTGCCGTGGCTGACCCCTACGTGGTCATCATGAGCGCTGAAGGCCATGTCACCATGTTCCTGCTCAAGAGCGACTCCTATGGGGGCCGCCACCACCGCCTGGCGCTACACAAGCCCCCACTGCACCATGTAGGCCTCTCCTCTACCCTCTGAGCCCACTGTCTCCCTGACTGCTGCCTCCCAGTCCCCTCACCAGAGCCCACTTGTCCCCCACAGCAGTCCAAGGTGATCGCGATGTGTGTGTACCGAGATGTCAGTGGCATGTTCACCACTGAGAGCCGCCTGGGCGGGGCCCGCGATGAGCTTGGGGGCCGAAGTGGCTCAGAGGCGGAAGGCCAGGGCTCAGAGACCAGGTGCGTGGAGAGCCTGGGTGCAGGGACTGGGCGCCTGAGGTGAGCCACCCATGACATGTGTGCTCCCTAGCCCCACAGTGGATGACGAGGAGGAGATGTTATACGGGGACTCAGGCTCCCTCTTCAGCCCCAGCAAGGAGGAGGCCCGCAGGAGCAGCCAACCCCCTGCTGATCGAGACCCCACCCCCTTCCGGGCTGAGCCCACCCATTGGTGCCTGCTGGTGCGGGAGAATGGAACCATGGAGGTGGGTGGTGCTCTGTGCCCACACAGCTGCCGACTGTCTGCCCTTGCCTCAGCTAACCACCACTCCCCTCACAGATTTACCAGCTCCCTGACTGGCGGCTGGTGTTCCTGGTGAAGAACTTCCCAGTAGGGCAGCGTGTCCTGGTGGACAGCTCTTTTGGTCAGCCCACCACGCAGGGTGAAGCCCGCAAGGAGGAGGCCACACGCCAGGGGGAGCTGCCCCTCGTCAAGGAGGTGTTGCTGGTAGCGCTCGGGAGCCGCCAGAGCAGGCCCTACCTGCTGGTAAGCATAGGCCAGTGCCCACCTGCCCCCGTACCTGTACCATCCAGGCCCCTTGACGACCTGACACCATCTCCAGGTACATGTGGACCAAGAGCTGCTCATCTATGAGGCCTTTGCCCACGACTCGCAGCTTGGCCAGGGAAACCTCAAAGTTCGCTTCAAGAAGGTGCGGTGGTGGTGAGGGGGGCGTTGTGAGGGATGGGGATGGGGATGGGGACCTGGGGCTCACAATACCACCACCCCAGGTCCCTCATAACATCAACTTCCGTGAGAAGAAGCCTAAGCCCTCGAAGAAGAAGGCAGACGGTGGTGGCACTGAGGAGGGGGCCGGAGCCCGCGGGCGTGTGGCACGGTTTCGCTACTTCGAGGACATTTACGGCTACTCAGGGGTAGGCAGGTGGCTTTGTGGGAGCTGGGCTGGAGCGGTGGGGACTTCACTGCAACAGCCCCCTCATGGTGCCACCCCCAGGTTTTCATCTGTGGCCCCTCGCCCCACTGGCTCCTGGTGACTGGCCGGGGGGCCCTGCGACTGCACCCCATGGGCATCGATGGCCCCATTGATTCCTTCGCCCCATTCCACAACGTCAACTGTCCCCGTGGCTTCCTGTACTTCAACAGACAAGTAGGTGCCTGGTACGAACTACCTGGGGCAGGAGCAGGAGTGGGTCCTGGGTCCTGGAAACGAGGCCCTTGGTGACTTGGGTTGGAGGGTGGTATGAACCATGACCAAGGAGGTGAAATCTGGGCTTAATGATTAGAAGCTTTGGACGATGGGTTGAGGGACCTGCTTGGGCAGCCAGGGTCCAGTCACTGCTACTGCTCTCGTTGAGGTGCTCACCCTCTCTGAGCCTCACTTTCCTCATCTGTCACCCAGGAACTCAGTGATGACGGTGCTCATGCACCCAGGACTGTGGGTGAGGGAGGGGCTACCCTGGCAAGGCCTGTGTGGGCCACCCTCTGCCTCCAGTGCTCTCTGGTCCTGGCCCAGACATCAGCTGTGGCCAACATCCCAACCCTGGGTGAGCCTGAGAGGAGGGACAGACAGCAAGCCACAGCTGCTTGCTCACCATGCTCCAGCAGAGCTCAGGGCTGATCCCAGGGAGCCCTCAGGGCCTGGGTACGCCTGTGTTGCTCTCAGCAGGTACCTGGCCTCACTAACCCCCATAATTTCCCAGGGCGAGCTGAGGATCAGTGTCCTGCCTGCCTACCTATCCTACGATGCCCCATGGCCTGTCAGGAAGATCCCACTGCGCTGCACAGCGCACTACGTGGCCTACCATGTGGAGTCCAAGGTCTGAACCCCCCCTAAGGCCAGAGACCTTCTGGGCCTGGTCTTGTGTGTGACACCCTCCACTTCCCCAGGTGTATGCCGTAGCCACCAGCACCAACACACCATGTACCCGTATCCCACGTATGACAGGCGAGGAGAAGGAGTTTGAGACCATTGAGAGAGGTAGGAGACACTCGAACTGGGCGTGTTCTTGGGCTACTTCTCCCTGATCAGCACTCTGTCTCTGCAGATGACCGGTACATCCACCCCCAGCAGGAGGCCTTCTCCATCCAGCTCATCTCCCCAGTCAGCTGGGAGGCCATCCCCAATGCCAGGTGAGGCTGGGCCAGGTGGGGGGTGGGGTGGGTAGGCAGATGGCAGGGTTACGTCCTGACACCGCCTCCTCCAGGATTGAGCTGGAGGAATGGGAGCACGTGACATGCATGAAGACGGTGTCGCTGCGCAGCGAGGAGACCGTGTCAGGCCTCAAAGGCTACGTGGCTGCTGGGACCTGCCTCATGCAGGGGGAGGAGGTCACCTGCCGCGGGCGGGTAAGGAGCCAGTGGGCAGGGACATGTGCTGGCAGCCCATGTGCTCCCTGCACAGCACCCACCACCCTTCCTGCATGCAGATCCTGATCATGGATGTGATTGAGGTGGTGCCTGAGCCCGGCCAGCCCCTGACCAAGAACAAGTTCAAGGTCTTGTATGAAAAGGAGCAGAAGGGACCCGTGACTGCCTTATGCCACTGCAATGGCCACTTGGTATCAGCCATTGGCCAGAAGGTGGGTCCCTGCCCCATCCGGCCCATCCCAAGCCATGGCCCACCCACCTGTGAGCCACTGGCTGCCACCAGCCCATCCACAGATCTTCCTGTGGAGCCTACGTGCCAGCGAGCTGACGGGCATGGCCTTCATCGACACCCAGCTGTACATCCACCAGATGATCAGCGTCAAGAACTTCATCCTGGCTGCAGACGTCATGAAGAGCATCTCGCTGCTGCGCTACCAGGAGGACAGCAAGACACTGAGCCTCGTTTCCCGGGTACCCATGGGGCTGGTACCCTGTGCTGGGGGGGGGGGTCCATGTCCCCAGGGCAGATCCTGACCTCCCCCACTCCCCCAAGGATGCCAAGCCCCTGGAAGTGTACAGTGTGGACTTCATGGTGGATAACGCCCAGCTGGGCTTCCTGGGTGAGTGCGGGGCCCGGGGCCCAGAGCCTGGGGTTCCTAAGACTCTGGAGGTGGCCAGGGCTGACTCTGGGCTCTGTTCCCAGTATCTGACCGTGATCGCAACCTGATGGTGTACATGTACCTGCCGGAGGGTGAGCAGTACTCCCTGACCCCTGGGCTGGGGGCTGGGTGCTGGGCAGAGGCTGGGTGGGCATGACCTGGGGTCCCTCTGGCCCAGCCAAGGAGAGCTTTGGCGGCATGCGCCTGCTGCGTCGGGCAGACTTCCACGTGGGCGCCCACGTGAATACCTTCTGGAGGACCCCCTGCCGAGGTGCTGCCGAGGGGCCCAGTAAGAAGTCAGTGGTGTGGGAGAACAAACACATCACCTGGTTTGGTGAGTGCCTGTGGGGAGGGGATACAAGGCAGTGGTACAGGGTGGGGCAGGTGGTGCTGGAATTGCCTGGCTCACACTGTCCCCTACAGCCACACTGGATGGTGGCATTGGGCTCCTGCTGCCCATGCAGGAGAAGACCTATCGGCGGCTGCTGATGCTGCAGAATGCGCTGACCACCATGCTGCCTCACCACGCTGGCCTCAACCCCCGTGCCTTTCGGTGAGCATGTCCCCCCTCACACCTCCCAGCAGGTCTGTTCCAACTCCCCACCACCTAACACTCCTCCCCAGGATGCTGCACGTGGACCGGCGCACCCTGCAGAACGCAGTGCGGAACATCTTGGATGGAGAGCTGCTCAACCGCTACCTGTACCTGAGCACCATGGAGCGCAGTGAGCTGGCCAAGAAGATTGGCACCACGCCTGACATTGTGAGTGAGTCACCTCCCCACCTCCCCACCTCCCCACCCTGCCCCACCCCACCCCTCACCTACCCCTCACCTACCCCTCTCCCCACAGATACTGGACGACCTGTTAGAGACAGACCGTGTCACTGCCCACTTCTAGACCCCTGGACACAGCCCCAGCCCCACCCCCTTTTTGTACAAAACACAGAAAAAAGGTTGGTTTGGTTTGAGAAGTGTGTGTGGTCATTGCAGGGCCTCCTGGCCCCACCCGTGGTCAGAGCCACCCCTCCCCCCCACTCTAGATGACAGTTGTTCTGGTGTCCCAGGTCTTGGGGGTGTTCACATCTCTAGTCCTGGGCCTCCTGCTCTGGGTCCCTAGGTCTCCAGGTATCGGTAAAGCTCCTCAGTCCTGGGCATGAGGTCCAGGTGCACCAGCACTCGAACTAGGAGGGCGGTGAGCCGCATTGACAGGGTCTCCAGCCTGGGGTGAGTGGGTGGAGGGGGTACAAGTCAGTGGGAAGCAGTCCCTGGCCTCCCATATTCCCACTGGGCCCCAACTCTCCACTCACCTCAGGGCCACTTCAAACTTCAGCGTCTCCCAGACAACCCTGATGTGGCGCAGGAGACTGCTGCTGCAGACGTTTGGGTGTGCTGCGCTTGCCAGGCGGCTCCAGCCTCTGACCGCACTGCCAGAGACACAGTCAGCCCGGCCCCACCCTACCCCACCCCGCCCACAGCACTGGGGTTCCCTGCCAGCACCCACCTCTTGGCCATGAGGAAGTAGCGGTCGACAGGGGTGCCGAGGGCAGTGTTGATGGCCCTGACAGTGTTGATGTTGCGCAGCACGAGCAGCATGGGCCGAGGCAGGGCCTTGAGCACAGCCATGATGTCCTCGAAGTGCTCCCGGGCCATGGCCTGCATGTAGGCCGCTTCCTCGCGGCTCAGCAGGTGAGAGCGCCACAGCTGCCCCAGGTGCACGGGCCTCTGCATGAGCACCTCCGAGAACAGGAAGTAGTCTGGGGGGGAGGGGCTGAGCCAGGCTGCACACCCCCACCGCCCCCACACACACACCCCAGACTCACCTTGCACCCCAAGTGTGGCCGCGTGCGTCTTCATTGAGATGTCATCTCTCAGGATGATGGCCCGCCACAGTTGGCACAGGGCTGAGCGGTCCCTGTGGGGCCCAGAGTGAGCCGAGCCCCAGGCAGGAAATGCCAGGCCCAGGCTCAGCACGCCACACCTCCCACGCTTACTTCTCATCCAGGAACTGGTAGAGCCCATGGTCCAGCAGCACCAGCTCTGCCTTCCCGTCCGGGCCTTTCCGCACCAGAACTAGGGACAGGACACACTGGCTCATGCTCACCCACTCCAGCCCCAGCCGCAGCCCCACCTTTACCTCCTGGGGGCTCTTACCATTGCCAGGGTGGGGGTCAGAGTGGATGAAGCCTGTATAGAATATCTGCTCAGCGAACGCTTTGATGAGCTTCTCTGCTATCTGGGGTGACAACAGGACCATGAGACTCACCTAGCACACAGCGTTCCCTCCATATCCTGTGTGCACGTGATGCACACCTGCAGCAGGCACACCTTCCCTCGCCCCACCTTGCACTCACATCCTGCACAGCCAGCCCCATGGACTTGATGGCCTCCACGTCGTTGACCTTGCAGCCCTCACAGAACTCAGCTGTCAGCACACGCTGGGGGAGAGTGAGAGGCTGAGCTCGGCAGGCCCATGCACCCCCTGCCACCCCCCCCAGGAGGGGGCCCAGCGCACCTTGCTGGACGTGTCCCAGTGCACTCGGGGGACCACAACATAGTGGAAGTGCTGCAGGTCCCGTGCGCAGCGCTCAGCGTTCCGGCCCTCATTCTCAAAGTCCAGTTCCTGGGCCAGGGTCCCCTTCAGGTCCTGGGGCCATACAGGCAGTTGGTCAGGGCCAGAGGCAGTGCAGCCCGAGCACATACAGCATGCCGCTCCTGTCCGTGGGCAGCAGTTACCTGGAGGACCCAGCTGAAGCCGAAGCTGGGGTGCATGAGCTCCACGAGCCTGAGCAGGAGCTCCAGGGTCTGGATGTCCCCATCGAAGCGGTCCCGCAGGTCGATGTACTGCACCTGCACCAGGCAAGGGCATGGGAGGACTGCGCTGCTGCTGCCTGCGCCCTCTGCCACGGGAGGTGGGCCCCTCGTACCTTCACAGCCACGGCAGTGCCATCGTGCAGCCGGGCACGGTGTACCTGGGCCAGGCTAGCGGCAGCAATGGGCTGGTAGTCAAACTCCTGGAAGAGCTCGTGGGGCGGGGCCTGGAAGTCCTCAAGGAATAGCTCATCCACCTGGCCCCAGAGGATTCACAGCAGTGTGGAGACCAACGCCACGCCCCATCTCCCAGCCTCTGTGCCCCCGGGGGTAGGGCTCACCTCCCGGAAGCTACGAGTGAGGGCCTTGTCTTCCAGCACACGCAGTGTCTTGATGTACTCAGGGGGCAGCAGGTGGTTGAAGGAGCATAGCCCCTGACCCAGCTTCACGTACAGGCCCCCGTTGTTGATGGCCCCAGCCACCAGGGCATCAGCCGCCCGCTGATGACACGCAGACATCACCTCCAAGTATCCCGGGCTGTTCTGACCACAGGCATGAGGGGGCAGGATGGGGGCAGGCGGGCACCTCCTCAGTCCACCCAACATCCACCTCCTCCAGAACCCCCACCCCACAGCACACACAGGCCCAGCTGTCACCAAGGACACATGGACAGACCTCTTCCACCCCTCGCAGGATGACGTTCGTGCACCACCAGTAGTCCGCGGAGATCTGCAGGCCGACCCTCAGAGACCTGCCGGCACAGGCTCCCTCAGCCCAGGCAGGCACTCAGTCCCAGGCCCCACTCTGCCAGCCCCTCAGTGCACCCAGGGCAGAGGACTCAGCCCAGCCTCAGAGTCTCTGCCGTCAGAACAGCATCAATCTCAGCTCCTGGTCTGAAGAACAGACTACCTGCATCCACGCCACCCTCAGCTCCCTAACACTGCTGCCTGCTGCCCAGGACCCATGGGAGGAGTAGAGCTGGGTTGGGAACTAGGGCCTCAATCAGATGCAGTCTTTCTTTTATACCACACTTGTTATAAAATAAAACCCACCCAGGACCACCCAGGTATACTTGTAATAGCTGGCCAGCCGGCCACTGTTGCCAGCTCCTATGTGGACTTGCTCCAGGACACCACACTCCTGGCCCTGCCTCCTTTACTCTGGGCCCCCTTTCCCAGGCTGGGCCCCTGTGGACAGGAGCCCCCAGGGAGTTGCTTCCCAGATGGGGATCCCCAGTCCTCTCCTGCCCAGGGGACAGCCCAGCACAATCCAGAGGCCTGGGCCCTTCTGGTGTGGGCAGCAGTCCTCACACTCCCTACACCCAGGCTCTGGGCAGGCAGCCCTGGTCGGACAGGAAAGGGTCCAGCACTGGAATCCAGGCCTCCCTCCCTTCACAGGAGGGATGTGGGACTCCTGCCCTTTAAGATAGAGCCCTCCCAGCTGGCGTGGCTCAGTGGTTGAGTGTTGACCCATGCACCAAGAGGTCGCCAGTTCGATTCCCAGTCGGGGCACATGCCCAGGTTGTGGGCCCGATACCCCAATGGGGGCATGCAGGAGGTGGGCAATTGATGTTCTCTCATCAATGTTTCTCTCTCTCCCTCTAAAAATCAATAAAGAGGAAAAAATTTTTTTAAATGGATAGGAGCCCTGGGAAAACCCAGGGCCAGCCATCCAAGCCAAGCCTCAGCTGTGTCCTGCTCCTAGCCACCTGCACCGCTGACGACACAGGAACCAAACAGGGCTGTCTGTGAGGAAGGGAGGGTGTGACCAGCAGGGTGAGCAAGACAGGATTTCCCTGGGGACACGGGCAGGGGCCCTTCCTGAATAACTCAGTACAGAACCAGGACAAGGTCTGCACAGGGGTGGGGGCGATGGCTACACTCAAGGTGACGACCAAGTTCCTGAATTAAGGACAAGAGAAGCCAGGTGTCTCCCAGCTGAAGAAGGGAGTTACAAATACAGAAAGAACGAGAATGAGCTACACTGGAGAAGGGAGGTGAACGCAAAGGTTGGACGTCTTTGGATACAGCACACTCGGCTCTAGTCCATGCAAGGCCTGGGGCACACCCCCCGGCATGCTCTTCATGGCCCTAAGACTTACGACCTTTCTCCACGCCAGGGCTGCAAAAGGACAAGAGAAGCCTGGACCGTCTTTAGTGCAGAAGGAACAAATGCTCAAAAATGGAGACATGTCAAAAGGATTTGGAGATGTTAATGGTAAAATCTTGGTGCTCTGTACAGCATTCCCACCTATGTTTGAAATGTTTCACTATAAAATGTTGGAGATTTTTAAAAAGGGTCACAAAAGCTCAGCTGAAGGGGCTCCCATTAGCCACTGAGGAATGGTCTCAGCAACAAAATAACAGTGATACTAACAGCAACCCATGGGATGAAACATGAGTCCAGGTTGATGCGAATAACTGAGTAAATAACCAGGGAGGAAAGAAATGTCCTTGCAGTCGAATGTCAAACAATGAATGTGGAAGGAATGAATGAAAAGAAAAATCACCCTTTGGTGATCACAATACTGAGAATGAATTCACCCCAAAAGTGGGCAGAGTGACGGGATCGGGCGTCAGCAGATTCCAAGTACAAGGGAGTACATGGGACTCTACTATTCTTGCCCAAACGTACCACCCAAATCTAACCAAGAGCAAACATCAGACAAACCCACCCCAAGGGCCAGTCTATGACAGCGGTCAGCAAAATTTTTTGTCACAGGGTTAGGCAGTACTTGGCTTCACAAGCCATCTGGCCCCCATACTGCCGTTACAGTGAGAGCAACCACAGGTAGTGGGGGGCATGGCCATGGTTCCAAGGAAGCTTCACTTCCAAGATGGGCAGCAACCCTTTTGGCCAGTTTTCTGACCCCTGTTGCACATTACTGACCCACAAATAGCCTCCAGATCTCTCCAGGTCCCTTGTCTGAAGAACTACCAAAGAGGTCAGGCCTTTGCCCCAATTCCTTCTACCTGTGGAATTTCTTGAGTGACAGCAGTGTCTCCGATTCATGGTGGCCCTGATAGTTTATAGTGAGGGGCTTGATGACCAGAAAGACCCACCCTATGATCAGTTTTGGAACTCTGAGCCAAGTGGCATCAGCCCAGTGGGGAGGGGGCTGGAGTCTGAGCTCCATCATGAGGCCAATGACATGCTCAGTTGTGCTGATATACTGAAACTCCAGCAGGTACTTGCCACTGATGCCCAGGGGTGAATCCACGTGGACTGACGCATGTCAAAGCCAGGAAGTAACAGGTCTGACGAAGCAGAGCTCCGATCTGAGACCCTCCCTGATCTGACCCCATGTGTCCCTCACTTTAGCTGGTCCTGCTCTGTGCCCTTGTCTGTAACAACATCCCAATCTTCAGCACAGTGCTTTCCTGAGTCCTGGGAGTCGCCTTGGGGACTGTCAAACTGAGAAGGCTGTGGGGACCCCCAATGGGGATCCCGTAACTAGCAGCTGGTATCAGAGTCCTGGGTAGATGTGGGGGTCTGGGGGACTGTGCCCTGACCTCACGTTTAGCCATGTGAGTCAAGGAGACACTGGGAACTGCTCCAGACTACAGGATCTGAGACACGGACTCTGGACCGGTCCTTGTGCTGAAAGCATTGTTACTAGGGTGTGCAGTGATAGGAACAGATCTGAGGGTCATAATGTATCAGCTTCCTGATTGTGCTTATGAGAGAGAAAGTCCTTGCTTAGAAAACACACTCAAGCTTTCAGGATGATAGAACATGTTGACAACTTGACTGTGAAGGTTTCAAGCAAAAAGTTCTTTTGTATTATTCTTGCAACTTTTCTGGACATTTGAATTGTAACCAAAAAAGGGGGAGGGGAGCCCAGAGATTGTAAAAGAAACCAGGTACTGAAGCAAACTGCCCCTTCTCCAGTCTTTGTGCATTGGACACGTGTGGCATGTTCTGACTTCAGCCACCCTGACCTGAGCACCGACGTATCATGGTCAGACTCGCCCCTACCCATGCTCCTTCCCTGGGCTCCTGCAACCCTGCTGCCCTTTACCCAGGATCTGTTGTGTGTCTCCAGTCTCCAGAGGTCCTGTGGTCACCCTGAGCCCAGCCAGGGATGCTCCATCAGGCCTGCCTGTCCTGGCAACTGTTAAGGCTTAGAGCTGACAAGAAGGCGCAGACTGGGTGGGGGAGATAATCGTCTGGCTCCCCTCCTTCCAATCCCAGCTCAGCCTCTGAAAGCAGATGGTGGGAAAGTGTTCGCAGGAGCACAGCAGAGAGGCAGGCACACAAGCCTCCTGCTGGGGTGTCCAACACGCAAGTAGCAGCCACATGGGGGCAGGTGAGACGAGCCCAGGACAGCTGAGTGGGCGTTTCAGAACCAAGCTGCACAGGGACAGCCCCACACTGTGCAGGAGAGAGTCATGGAAGGAAAAGCCCTGACTCCAAGCTGCCATCAACCTCAAGCTTGCACAGCACAGAAGCCACCACCAGAACCAGCCCAGGGTGACTGGGAGCTCTAGGTGAACCCGGAGAAGAAGGGGTTTTCTTCACGCTGGAGATGGGAGTGGGCAGGCGCTCGGCCATCTGGTGCCTCTGGTGTGGTGTGAATCTCAGTGACGCTTTTGGCTAAGTGCCTGAAGGCCTCAGTGGCCTTAGCCCTCTTTCCTGGGAGAATCGGCCCAGGTCCGAGAGGCAGCAGGTGCTCACAGCCGGCGGATCGGGACATACCCCCACCCCAGGAGCACCCTAACCAGGGTTTTACGTGAGCCCTTTCCCCAGGCATTCTTGTGCACAGTGGGTTTGGGTAAACTGAGGTTTGACTCTGTGCCAAGAACTGGTTCTTAGGACTTTCAGGCTACAGGATTATCTGTATCTTACCAAGAGCAGGAGTGCTGACCCAGGTGCTTCACCCGAGATCAGCCCTGTTCCCAATATCCTGACTAGGAGACAAAGGGTCAGAAGAGCCTGATGAGCAGACAGCACCATGTCCACTCCAGTGTGCTGGGGCCGGAGTGAGACGGCAGCCCTCCCTCAGGGCCCCAGACCACTCTGTCTGGGTGCCAAAGCGAGAAGGCAGGTGAGGAGGAGGGTGGAAGGCACCAGCCCCGCCCTATCACCTACTGGTCAAGGAGGAGGATCTGGAGGGTCTGTGGAGGCCTGTCAGTGTGGGCAGCTCACCTGCACTGTGCCCATGCTGGCGAGGCTGCGCGGGGAGAACACTGTGCTGTGCCACCCAGCCCTCCTACCTGCCGAAGCGCCCAACACCGTCCACCATGAGCCTCATCCTTCTCTTCTCCTGAGGCTCTGCCACGACGTAGCGGATGCCAAGGAGCAGGGGCAGCCCCACTGCCGTGGAGGAGAGCACCTTCTTCCACAGGGGCTGGGGTCTCAAGGACCTGGAGGGACAAAGATGCATGACCAGCTACTTCCTGTCTGTGCCCCACTCCCTGCCCGGACTAGGTTCTGCAGGCAACGTTGGTTTCAGACACTTATGTGGTCAGCAGTATGCTTTCTGAACACGATGTCCAAGTCACCTCACCTGAGCCCCATAGGCACCCCAGACGCCAGGCTCCAACTGGCCAGTGGATGGAGAAAGCGGCTCCTTTGCTACATGGAAAGCCACTCATGGGACCAGGGCCACCTATCCTGTGGATACCCATGCCATCCATGCACCTCGCCGATGGTCCCAATGGACTGCAAGCGTCAGGATGGCAAGATGTGCAGGTAACACACACTTGACACGATGAGAGGTCAAGACAAGGAACACAGTGGGAGCGCCAGCCCCCAGCCATGTGTCTGACCGTCTCCAAGCTGCTGCCCCTCCAGGCCTGAGTCTCGCCTGCAGCGCCCTCCCACCTCACTCCACCCACCCTGCCCACTAGCTCCGGTCTTGGACCTCATGCCCTGCGCCTTGTTTTGGCCTCACCACAGCAGCCCTTCCTGCTTCACCGTCTGAGCCGCAGCTCTGCTGCCTTCTGCTCACCATGCTGCTGCAGGGGTCCTGGCCCTGGAACCCCAGTCTCAAGTCAGACCCCCACACCAGGAGCAAACACATACTGTCTTGGAGGGGTACAGAGAAGATCCCACCACGGGCCCACAAGAGGTCATCCGATGATCCCTGCCTGGTGAGAGGCTGCAGAGAACTCACCACCGAGCAGGCAGGACGCTGAGGCTTCTCCTGAGGAAGGCAGCGGGGACTGGCCAGCGCTGGGGCCTGCTCTGCAGCACAGCGCAGTGGAAGTGGCAAAGTGGGGACTGCAAAGTGAGCAACAGCATGGGGTCAGACGAGGCAGCCACACGCCCTCGGCCCTGCCCTGGCACTGCTGGGGCCCTGGGACATTTCAGTTAGTCTCCTCTGCTGCTGAGACCACTGGCCCACAGCCTGAGGAAGGCTTTCTGCATTTCCGAAGGAAGTGTCAAGAATGCTCTCCCGGCCAATGTGGCTCAGTGGCTTGAGTGTCACCCTATGGACTTAGAAGTCCTGGTTCAATTCCCGGTCAGGGCACATGCCCAGGTTGCAAACTCGATCCCTCTTAGGGGGTGTGCAGGAGGCCGTCAATAGATGTTTCTCTCTCTCTCCCCCTAAAAAATCAATATGAATTTTAAAAAAGCCCTGGCTGGCCCTGGCCAGTTTGGCTCAGCGGTTAGAGCGTCGGCCTGCGGTCCAGAGAGACCCGGGTTCGGTTCCCGCTAAGGGCACGTACTTCGGTTGCAGTTTGTCCCCGGCCCTGGTTGGTCGTGCGGGTGGCAGCCACTCGATGTGTCCCTTCACATCAATGTTTCTCTCTCTCTCTCCCTTCCTCTCTCTCCCTCTCAATCTATCTGTACAAAAAAAATGGAAAAATATCCTCGGGTGAGGATTAAAAAAAATTAAAAAAAAATAAAAAAAATTAAAAAGCCCTGGCTGGTTTGGCTCAGCAGTTAAGCGCCAGCCTGCAGATCAGAGAGTCCCGGGTTTGGTTCCCACTAAGGGCACATACCTCAGTTGTACTTTGTCCCTGGCCTTGGTTGGGGTTGTGTGGGTGGCAACCACTTGATGTGTTTGTCTCACATCGATGTTTCTCTCTCTTCCTCCCTCTCTCCCTCCTGCTCTATCTGAAGATAAATGCAAAAATGTCCTTGGGTGAGGATAAAAAAAAAAAGGATGCTTAACCACATAATCAAAAAGACTGGATGCAGCCCTGGCCGGTTTGGCTCAGCGGTTAGAGCATCGGCCTGTGGTCCGGAGAGACCCGGGTTCGGTTCCCGCTAAGGGCATGTACCTCGGTTGCAGTTTGTCCCCGGCCCTGGTTGGTCGTGTGGTGGCAGCCACTCGATGTGTCCCTTTCACATCGATGTTTCTCTCTCTCTATCTCTTCCTCTCTCTCCCTCCCACTCTATCTGTACAAAAAATGTCCTCGGGTGAGGATAAAAAAAAAAAAAAAAAGACTGGATGCAGGAAAAATGTGCCTTGCACAGGTCGTTGTTCTGAAAGTGGATGAAGACACCAGGAACGCCAGTTACTCTGACCCCAGAGGCAGAATGGAGATGCTAGCCAGCAGGACCCCCAGAGAAGCTAAGTTCCTGGGAGGCTCTCTGCTCACTGGCTACCTTGGTCTCCCAATCTTACTTGAATTATGGGCCTTACAAGTTCCACGACCACAGATTTCCCAACTGCAAATCCTCAGTTTCTAGGGGAAAGACATTGTGTATAGTAAGTGATGGCCCACAGAACAGATGTTAAGATTATCGCTGTGAGCTCTGGGCCAGATAAGGAATCGACTTTCCAACCACTTTCTGGCCAAAGCATGCAGCCCTGAAGACAATTCCAAGGACAGCAAAACAAAACAAAAGTCAAAGGAAATATCCATGACCTATTGTCCCAAGAGGAGGACGGCGCTGACAAAACCTCTGCTCAGCAAGGCTACAAACAGCAAGGGCCAGAGCGGATAGTGCTCTGTGCGCCCTGCTGCCCCTCTGGCCCGCACACCTGACTTGGCCACGTGACAGCACACATGGCCATGCCAGGCCACACAGAAGAGTGGGCCCAGGGAACACATCTGTACACACACAGTGGTCAGCTCTCAGAACATCAGTGAATGCCTGCACAACGGCTGGGGTCCAGGCTGGAATCCCAATCACCTCCCACCAGACATCAGAGGGGGGTTTGTGACGAGCAGATGTGCCAAGAGGGTCAGTCCTGCCTGCCCACACTGATCCTGCCCCTACATGCAACTCTGCCTCGGCCCTGTTCAGACCCACCCGTCTGTATCCCTCATCCCGCATACCTTCTACCACTCACACTCACCCACCCACCAAACCCTGCCAGGAAGACCAGCCTGACAGTGGGCTTTGTGTGCGACCAGGGACCACAGACGGGGCTGTGGAACAGCACTGGGTGCAAGGGAGGGAGGGATCCTGTGGCCTGGCAGTGAGGGGACATCCACCTGGACATTATAGCGGGTTTTCTAGACAGAGAACATGGCATCAGTGAAGGCCTGAAGTCAGGAGAGTACAGGTGTTTCTGAGGAGACAGGACTGTGTGGTTGGAAAGCTCATGTGCCCAGAGGTGAAGAAGGGGACTGCCCAAAAAGAGAAGGGTGAGGCCAAGTGAGCTGGAAATGGGTGGGCGTCTCAAGGCCCTTACTGAGGTTTTCCCAAGGCGGGGGGTGATATGCTGGGGACTTTAGCCTTGGGGGAGATAGGGGCAGGTGTCCAGTCAGAAGGGCTAGAGCCCAAGTCAGAGCAGTGGCTGGGGAGGGGGCTGCTGAGTGAGGGAGCCCAGAGGATCCCAGGCAAGCAGGAGGAGCCAGGGAGTCCTGCCACCTCAAGACCACAGCCCAAGAGTGACCACAGCCACCAGCTGCCAGCCGCCATGCTTGGCACTCATTATCAGTGACCCTGAGAAAACCCCAACAAGCAGATCTGAGTTGCAGGGGGCTTCTTTCAACAGCAGCTTAGCCTCTTTGCAAAGTCACGGGGACCCATGAGTTGGGTGCTGGTGCTAGGCACAGCCATCTATCAAGTCTCTCTACTTCAGCATATCTGTAGTTTTTTTATAACTAAATGTTAAATAAAAGGTTATAGGGAAAAACTGGGAGGACTATTGTAGGTCAGGAGGCTAGACAGACGGAACATCAAGTGCAAAGTAGGAACCCCAACCTCGACCTGGAAGAAGCACCTCCCCAGATGACCTGAACACGAACAGTGGACACTGGGAATTGCAGGCTCACCTGTGTCACTGAGCTTGCAATGGTGCAATTTTTACAAACTGAAGGTTTGTGGCAGCCCAGCGTCCAGCAAGTCTGTCCGCACCACGTTTCCAACAAGCAAATGTAACAGTCAGCATTTTTTAGCAATAGTATGGATTTATTTATTTTTTAGGGTCTTTCAGTAAAAACCGGAAGAATTACTAGACAAATTCAAAAAGAGCTGCAAGCACTAGCAATAGTAAGGTTTTGTTTTGTTTTGTTTTTTCTTTGTTGATTTCAGAGAGAGAGAAAGGGAGAGGGAGAGACAGAGAAAAACATCAATGAGAGAGAACATCGACTGGCCGCCTTCTGCATGCTCCCCATTGGGGATTTGGCCCCACAACCTGAGCATGTGCCCTGACCAGGAATCAAACCAGCGACCTCTTGGTGCATGGATTGATGCTCAACCGCTGAGTCACACCAGCCGGATGCAATAGTAAGTTTTACTTAAGGTATCTACATTCTTTTTTTAGACATAATGCTTCTGCACACTCAGTAGACTACAATATTAACATAAGTTTTATATGCACCAAGAAACAAAAAATCCATGAGACTCGTGTTACTGTGGTGGTTTGGAATCAAAGGAGCATGACAGAATCACCGTGGTTACAAAAGAGAGTGTCCTTGCCCTGGCCAGTTTTGCTCAGCAGTTAGAGCGTTGGCCTGCGGTCCAGAGATACCCGGGTTCAGTTCCCGCTAAGGGCATGTACTTCGGTTGCAGTTTGTCCCCAGCCCTAGTTGGGTCAGGTGGGTGGCAACCACTCAATGTGTCCCTTTCACGTCGATGTTTCCCTCTCTCTCTCTCTCTCCCTCCCACAGTATCTGAACAAAAAACAGAAAAATGTCCTCGGGTGAGGATTAAAAACAAAAACAAAAACAAAAGAGAGTGTCCTTGTCAGGGATGCACACTGAAGGTCTAGCCTCTAAAGGTTTGAGTCAGAATGTCTGTGACTTACTATCTAATGGTCCAATGACAACAAAACACGTTTCAAATAGAAAGAGAAACAACCGGGGCAAGATGCTGGCGGTACGCAGACCTAGGTGGTGAGTGTGTCAGGTGGCACCTATATTTAAATGTTTTCATGGGCAAAAGTGCGAAGTATACGCTATCCTACTCGATGTCCCAGCCCGGAAGGTGGCGTTTCAGAGCCAGGGCAGGGGTCCTCACCTGGACAACTCTGTGCCAGGGCATCGGGCACTGTCTGCAGACACTCTTAGTTGTCACAACTTGAGGGAGCAGGAGCTCCTGGCATTGAGTGGGTGGAGGCCAGGGGCCAGGACGGCCACCCGAGACTGAGCAGCGGGGGACGGGCGGTAGTAAAGTGCAAGGCCTAGAACACACGGTGGGCAGCTGCGCATGCTGAGCTCACCTGGGGTCAACGAGCCGCTAGGCTTTCCCAGGTTTCCTCCTCACTGGGCCAAGCCACCTGACTGTCCCCAGTGCCCTCACCTCTTCTCAACAACCCTGTGCCACCTGACACAAAGTAGTACACACTTGCTGGGTTGAACTGAACTATCTATGTTAACACTGTTTCCCACAAGTTCTTCAAAAGGAAAAGAAGGGTTTGTTTTGCCCAGAAGAGAAGAGAGACTTTTCCCCATACGTGGAAAGCTTGGCGAGGGATTCTATACAGAATGTGAAGAGACCAGAGTGGAAAGGTGGCAGAGTGGGGTCTGCTCCAAGCCCTGTGGGTTCACCATGGCAGACAAATAAGGAAAATTGCCAAAGATGACCAACTACGACCATCCTGAGATGCCAACATCCAGAGCAGAGACCCCCCCAGGGACCCAGCCCAGTGTTGATGTTCTGAGGGAGCAGAGCCAAGGCCTGGGTCAGAGGCTGTGTCGTGTGCAGCACCCCGGAGCCCCAGCACAGCTGCCCCAAGACCACAGCCAAACCCAGCCTCACTCAATCCTCCAGATGCCCCTGTGAAGGCTGAGCACGTGGGCGGCAAACGCTCTGGGCATGTCTGACTCAGCTGGCAGAAGACTGCAGAGAGGAGAGGTCCCCAAGAGAGCTTGCCTTCGAGACCCTCCACCTGGAGAAGCCCCTGGCCTGCCAGGGAGGGACACAGAGTGAGGGGCCAGGCGCAGGCCGGTGGGGGCCACTTAGGTTTTCTGGTGACCCCAGTGAGAGTTCACAGGGTATGAGATGGCACATGACTCACAGCAGCCTGAGGCTGACGGGGTATCATGAGTGGGCAGAGTCCATGAATGCCAAGCTCCGGGATGGAAGAACAGGTCTGGTCTGCAGCCTTACCCCATTACCCGGTGCCGGGGAAACACCCCTCCTATCATCTTTCATCTCTGAATGGGGCGACAGTGTCAACCTTGCAAGGCTGGAAAGGTGAGAGATCGTGGACACAAAGCACCTCACTCAGGACCTGGCACTTTATAAATGCTCAACACAAGGAGGGCGTTTACTGCAGCAGCTCCTGGCCAAGCCAGCAACGGACAACATCCTTCCTGGTCCCACAATAGCTCGCCCTGAAATCCTCCGGTGCTGAGGGGTCCTGACAGCCAGAGGGGAGTACACTGTCCCCGAGTCATTAATATGCAAGCGTTTGGTGAGAAATGTCAAGTCACTTAACCTTAAACATCATTTTGATATTAAAACATACTGTTCTTAACGTCACCCCAATAAATTCAAAAAATTTTTCTAAAAGATTTTTTTTCTGTTCTAGTATAAATTATCAACCAGTTGATAAGATCTAAAGGACTGGCCCTGGCTGGGCAGCTCAGCTGATTAGAACGTCATCCCAATGCACCAAGGTCTGGGGTTCTGTACCCAGTCAGGGCACATACAAGAATTAACCAGTGAATGCATAAGTAAATGAAGCAACTAACTGGCGTTTTACTCTCTCTCCTCCCCCTCCCTTCTTCTCCTTTCTAAAAATAAAAAATTTTTAAATGTTTTAATAGTACGGGATTGTCTGAATTACAATGCTATTATGAATTGGATTTTATTTCAAATAAATAAAAGCCCTGGCCCATGGGCTCAGTTGGTTGAGCGTCGTCATCCCATGTTCCCAAGGGGTCACAGGTTCAATTTCCAGTCAGGGAAAATGCCCAGATTGCGGGTTCAAGCCCCAGTCTGTGTGTGTACAGAAAGCAAACGATCAGAAAACAATCGATGTTTCTCTCTCATGTTGATGTTTCTTTCTCTCTCTCTCTCTCCCTTTCTCCCTCTCTAAAAATAGAAATAAGTAAATAAAAGATAAAATAAAATAAATAAAAAATATAAAACACACCATTCTTTTACAGAAGAGAGTGCTACATCTGAGTCATTTTACAGCAAAGCATGAGGCCCTGGCTGCATCCCAGCCTCCTGACGACTGTCCATTGCTGTCAGGGGTTCTGGTGAGGAAGCTGAGGACCAGAGTCCACAGCCTCTGAGCACATGACAACACAGTGCCAAGTGCACATGGACCACAGTCCCCAGGAGCCACCACCTAGTAGGAGCTCTGGCTGCATCTCATACTCCCCAACTTATTTCCCAGCACGAACTCCTCACTCATGCTCCTGTGACAAAGGTCCCTTTGGTAGACCCTGGAAAGCCCAGCCCAGTTCTCCAACCTGCTGTCCTGCCTGGAATACCCTGCAGTCCACCCTGATTCACCCCCTACCCCTGCATCTGGTCCATTCCTCCTCCACTGACCTTATCACACAAGAGTGACTATCAGCTTAGACTCTGTCCCCAACAGACTGAGCAGGGCCCACCTCTCAAACATGCCTGTACTTCTAGGATCCAACACGTAGTTTGCTAGATGGAGCAGAAACTCCAGAAACGCTTGTTGCACTGAGATCAAAAGTGATAAGCACACAACGCGCCAGAGCCCAGGCAAAGACATCGGCTGAGCAGCAGGTGGAAGACACAGTCCAGCAAGAGATGAGCAGCCCTGCAGCACCCTGGCCCTGCGCAGAACTCCAAGGATGAGGCCGTGTGCCCACAACTCTGCAGCACCCACAGGCTCCTGCCAGTTGAAGATGCCCAGCGTTCCCCAAATGATCCCCATCACACAGGAGACACCCCCAAAGCCCAAAGAGGTCCTGTGGCTATAGATGTGGGGCAGGGTCCAGTCAGGGCAGCTTCCACCACATCACACATAACCTGAACCACACCCGGGGCCTGAGACCAGAGGTGCCTGACACAGGTGCAGAGGGGGCTGTGGGTCCCCAGGAAATCCTCCCACATGCCAGTGCCTTCTCACCAAGATGACCACACATGTGTCCCTGTACCCCTCCCGCTCCAGGGTGGACAAGATGAGATGGGCTTCCTGTCCTGCTTCCCTGGAGTGTGTGCACAGTATGTTTGCACACACCCAGGTCTCATCAGAACTCAGCTAACAACATACAAAGCAGCAAAAGAAGACCTCAGTAGTAACACTGAAATCGGTATCACAAAGCTCACCGACGCGTGTACTTTAACACAGAACAATGACTACGTGTGTTCACATACGTGGCACCAGCTGAGCTGTCTGTTTCCCTAACATCCTGTAGATTAGACAGAGCCGATTAGAAGGAAGATGAGATGTCACTGCGGACAAGCCAGCCCACAGCAGTGGAGGCCACCACTGGGTCTCACGATGATGCTGTAACAGAAACCTGCACAGAGCTGACCAGAACCTGGGCACTTTAATAACAGGGTCAACAGCCCTAACCCTCAGCAGGACCATGGACGCCTGTGACCCTCTCGGCCCCATCTGGACTCAGAAGCCCACAGGGCCCACTGGGCTTGGTGGCTGTGAGCAGCTCCTACTTAGGGGCTAAAACTGCCCCCTCCCCCTGGTCTGCAGCATTAAGCGACCTGATGTGTGAAGAAGCTTCATGAACTGTGAAGGGCTACACTCAAGGCTGCTCCCCGTGCTGGGGCTGCTCACTGTCCCCCGCAGGTTCAGGGGGATTCGTTTTCCCAGGGCTGTCTACACCCACAGGCTAGGCTTAGGGGAGAAATGCAAGCTCCACAGAAAACCCTCGGCTTCAGGACCCAGGAACCCTCAGTCCCTTCCGCTCCAAACAAGACGACGGCCCGGCCCTGGGGAGGGAGCGGTGACCCAGGTGCTAACCGCACGATGCGCAGCCGGGAGGCCGCCCGCAGGCCCGGGAAGGCCGGCCGCCGGCAGGAGGAGCAGCAGTGGGCGGGCAGCCGGGACGGGCGAGGGCGGGGCGCGGGGCGCGGGGCGCGGGGCCGCAGCCGGGGCAGGTGTCGGCTCGGGGTGCGTACGGGACCGGGCAAGGTGATACCGTCTGGGATCTGGCGGGGCCTGGGCAGTGCGGGGTCTGCGGGACACACCGGGCAGGGACAGGGGTGCCCTCGGCTCCGACGCCGGGGCAGCCGGCCCGCAGCTGACTTGGGCAAAGGCGCCCCTCTGGGGACGGCGCCTGGGAGGACCAGGGGGCTCTGGTGAGCCGGGGACGACCTGCCCGGTCCTGCGTGGCCCCGGCATCTCCTACAAGGTCTGAGGGTCTAAAGCGGGGTCTGGAGGGCGGGGTATCTGAGAGCCGTGGAGGACCCCTGAAGAGCCTGAGGTCCGGGGACAGGGTCCCTGACAGGGCCCGGACGAGGCATCCTGGGGTGCGCAGGGACTCGGTCTCGGGGACGCGCGGGACCCGGACGGAAGGCTGACGGCGTCGTGGAGGGGGCGCCGGGCCGGGCCGGCGAGGACTCACCGGTCGCCACATGTTCCAGCCGCCGCTCGGCTCCCGCTCGGCTCCCACTCGGCTCCCGCTCGGCGCAGGCTCGCGTCGCCCCGCCCAGCGGTCTCTGCGGGTGGTGGTTCACTGCGCACGCGCCTCCCGGCGGCGGTGGGAGGGGCCTGAAGCCACGCCCCGAGCGTCTCGCGGCCGCGGCGGTGCAGCGCCCCCTGCTGGCCCCCGCTGGCCTAGCTTTAGGGCTAAGGGTTGCAGACGCCCGCGCGGGGGTCGCCAGGCCGGGCAGAAGCCGCGAGGGGCTTGGGACCTGGGGCCTGTGCAGCTCAATACTCCCCGAGCCAGGGGTGAGGACGAATTTCTGTGAGGGCTCCGCCGCAGAACGAGGCAGTGGCTCCCGAGCTAACGGGGCTCCGTGTTCCGTGCAGCGCCCACGTTCATCTGGATCGGGGGCCAGTGATTCTCACGAGCACCTGCTGTGTGCGGGCGGCCCGGCTGCGCGGGGACTCTGCCGCGAAAGGTGAGCAGCGGGAGGCCAGGACCACGGAGAAAGCTCCTCTTCAAGAAACGTCCTCCCAGACCCTGCCAGGGCTTCTCCTCCCTCCTCTTGCTTGCTCCCCGCTCACCCCTGCCAGGGAGCTTCTCCAAAGGCAGGTTCACCCCCCACACTGTCCCCAAAGACCTGTTTCTGATGTCACTGAAGCCACGCCCTCGAGTTGGTGACACCAGCGGGTCTGGAGTCTTTCTGTGGCCTGGCCACCTGCTGCGTCCACCCGGGGCCTCGAGTCTCCTGCTCCACACACACTACTGCCCCACCTTCACACCAACTGCTTAGGAAGCTTCTTCCTCAATGGTTGCAACTCTCCCATCTGCCTGTCCCCTTCCCACATGGCGCCTCCTTCCACATGGTCAGGCCAACGGGGCCTGTTCATCCGACTATCTCTGGGCCCAGGTGAACTTGTGGCCCTGCCACCTAACACCCCAGGCCTCTTCTGCCGCCTGGTGCCACAGCACCACCTTGTTCCCACCGCCTCCAGTGGCGCGAATGCCCTGGCTGAGTGCAGACAGCTGTCCTCAGTGACTTTGCCCAACTTGCCAGGACAGGAACTTAGCATGTCATCTTCACCCTGTGTCCTGGTGTCCAGGACAAGTCCTGACAGAGTGGATCTGAAGCTCCTCCCAGGGCCAGGCTTCTGGGATGTTCCCAGTTGCACATGTTCAGCCTCCCCACCCAACCCCTTAATGTCTGTGAAACAGGTCCAGGAAATAGTGGAGGTTGGCACAGAAGTACTTCCTGGGTATCTGAGAAGTGACAACAGCAGGGTGTGAGCATGGCTGTGCACTTCCCCTGGTGACACACACATGGCCACTGGAAACCTGGGCCATCGACTGTCCTGGGGCTGGGAATTGGGGGCAGGGGGAGAGCTTTCCTGTCCACTCTTGGGAAACAAGGTACAGCAGTTTCCCACCCCCAGATGAACAAAGGAATGAACTCAGTCCTATTTCTACATCAGAGAACCCTAGTACTGGCCTGGCTCCCGTCCTGGGCTCCCTCTGCATGGCAGGGCACTGGTCCTGGATTGAATGGGGGTACCCTGCCCCAGATGGTGCTGTGTGGAGTCAGTTCCCCCAAATGGGACTGCTGGGTCCCAGGGATAGCCAGAAGACCTTACCCCCCGTGACCACCACTCATGTTCCACTCATCTGTCCTCCATTCTCAAGCCCATCTTCCAAATCTCCAAATACCCTGGTGTTCCCAGGCCCTTGAGTCTCCAAAACTGCTATTAAAGAAAAAATAAAGAGGACCTGTGTATTAAGACACATGCATGACTCTCACACAGATAGAAAATGAGCAGTGCGTCCCCTCCCCAAATATGTGTCCAAGTTCTAAGTTCCAGAATCTGTCCTGTGACTTTATTTGGAAATAAGGTTGTTACCAATGTAATTAAGGTTCTCTCAGTGAGATCATCCTGGATGAGGATGGGCCCTAAATCCAATGACTGGTGTCCTTAGAAGGAGAAGGAGGTCTAAGACACAGGAAAAGTCCCTGTGAAGACAGAGGCAGAGACCGGAGTGATGTGGCCACACGCCAGGAAATGCCAAGAATTGCTGGCAGCTGCCAGAGGCTGGAGAGGGGCCTGGAACCTGGTCCCCGCAAGCCTCTGGGAGGAACCGGCCCTGACAGCACTGTTTTGACTTCCGGCCTCTAGCACTGTGGTAAAATAAACCTGGGTTGTTGTAAGCCACCAAGTTCATGGTAATTTGTTCCAGCAGCAACTCAGAAACTAGTACAGTGTGCCAAAGGGTTATTTAAGACATTAACTAATGAGAGAACCAGGAATGTGGTTTCAAGTTCAAAAGAAAAGTTCAAAACCACAGATTTATGTGGAGTGAAAGAAGGCTGAAATAAATTTTAAAAAGGAGACTCGCCTGGCTAGTGTGGCTCAGTGGTTGAGCATCGACCCTGCACCAAGAGGTCGCCGGTTCGATTCCAGGTCAGGGCACATGCTCAGATTGTGGGCCAAATCCCCAGAGGAGGGCATGCAGGAGGTGGCCAATTGATGTTCTCCCTCATTGATGTTTCCATCTCTGTCTTGCCCTCTCCTTTCTTCTCTCTCTGAAATCAATAAAGAAAAAAATTAAAAGAAAAAAGGTGGAGACTTGCTTTCCCACAGGGGAAAATAAACCGAATCTCCCCTGGACCAGATGTATTTGCATGGCTATAAAAAGGAAGGGTTTGCGTTTCTGTTGGTCACCTGCAATGTCCAGAGCTGAGCTGTGAAATAGTCCAGAAGGGTAGACACGGACAACGTGAGGTTTTCCATTGAAAGTATCAGTGATAGCCCTGGCCAGTTTGGCTCAGCGGTTAGAGCGTCGGCCTGCGGTCCGGAGAGACCCGGGTTCGGTTCCCGCTAAGGGCACGTACTTCGGTTGCAGTTTGTCCCCGGCCCTGGTTGGTCGTGTGGGTGGCAGCCACTCGATGTGTCCCTTCACGTCGATGTTTCTCTCTCTCTCTCCCTTCCTCTCTCCCCCTCCCACTCTATCTGTACAAAAAATGGAAAAATATCCGAGGGTGATGATAAAAAAAAAAAAAAAAAAAAAAAAAAAAAAAGAAAGTATCAGTGATACACACACACACACACACACACACACTCACACACATATGTTTTTCTTCTTCTTTTATTGATTTTAGACAGGGAGGAAGGGAAAGGGAAAGAGAGAGAGCAAAACCTCGATGAGAGAGAACATTGATTGGCCTCCTCCTGCACGCCCCCCAACTGGGGATTGAGCCCACAAGCTGGGCATGTGGCCTGACCAGGAATGGAACCGGTGACCTCTTGGTGCAGAGGTCAATGCTCAACCACTGAACCACACTGTCCAGGCTGTTTTGTTTATTCCAAAGTTTACATTGTTCATCACAGTCTCCCTGACACCTTTGATTTTTTTGTTGTTGTTGTTGTTAATCTTCACCTGAGGATATTTTTTCCAATGATTTTTAGAGAGAGTGGAAGGGAGAGAGGGAGAGGGGAGAGAGAGAGAAACATCGATGTGAGAGAGACACATTGATTGGTTGCTTCCTGCACACACCCTGATCGAGGCAGGGATTGAACTTGCAACCCAGGTACTTGCCCTTGACCAGGAATTGAACCTGTGACCCTTCTGTGTGCAGGCCGACACTCTAACTACTGAGCCATACCAGCCAGAGCCACTCCTTTGATAAAAAAGGAAATTTCAGCCTGGCCGGTGTAGCTCAGTGGATTGAGCGTCATCCCATGGACTAAGAGGTCCTGGTTCAATTCCTGGTCAGGGCACATGCCTGGGGTGTGGACTCGATCCCCAGTGGGCAGCATGCAGGAGGTGGCCGATCAATGTTCCTCTATCACATCAATGTTTGTATCTCTCTAAAAAAATCAATAAAAATATTTTTAAAATAAATAAATAAAAAGGTTACATTTCAGTTTACAAAGAGTCTAGTAAACTGAGAGAGGTTACAGATGTCGAGAATAAAACAGAACTGACTAGATATTCCCTCACCAAAAGGAATGTATTCGGGAAAAGAAGGGATGGTCCTCAGTGTGTGCACACAAGGAACTGTGTGCAGGCCTGCAGGGGACTCTCCAACTCCCAGCCTCAGAATCACCCCACAGGCCACTGAGCTCCTCCCACTGCCCCTCCTGACTATGTCCAGGTTAAGGTCTCAGCCATAAATTCTATCAAAGCGTGGAGTAAGAGAAAGGCCTCCATGTGAACCCAGGACACAGGACACTAAACAACGCTAACAGTATTCAGGCCAAAAACCAGGGTAACATGTCCCTCACGGTTCACGCTCCCTGTCATCAATTCCTGGGACGCTGGGTTCAGGGTGAGAGGCTGAATGCTGACTCAGCCCACGTCCGAGCTGTACTGGCCTAAGCTGTGTCCAGAGTCCCTTCTCTGAAGGACTAGTTCACCAGTTCGGTGCCTGTCTCGGGCTTAGTTTCCACTGGACCCTGACTGCAGAGCCTCAGACAAAGCAGAGGGTGACAGAAACTCGGTTAGTGGTTAATTTACTATACAACGTTTTAAAATGTAAGAAAAGTCCTGGCTGGTTTGGCTCAGCAGTTAGAGCGTCAGCCCGTGGACCAGAGAGTCCCGGGTTCAGTTCCCACTAAGGGCACATACCTCGTACCTCAGTTGCGGTTTGTCCCCGGACCCGATTGGGGTTGTGTGGGTGGCAACCGCTTGATGTGTCTCTCTCACATCGATGTTTCTCTCTCTCTCTCCCTCCCGCTCTATCCGAAGATAAATACAAAAATGTCCTCAGGTGAGTATTAAAAAATAAAATGTAAGAGAAGACAGTGAACGTTGCATCTAATTTACAAATATGGGTGAATAATTTTTACATTCATTAAAAATTATGGAAACTTATTAAAAATGATAATATATCGAACACGAAATAATCCTGAGGCATTATGTACATCAAATGCTAAGAATATGCCAAAAGTACCAGTAAAGCAAGTGACTGAGTCAGGAGCGGAGCCCAGAGAGACATCTGTGTTTCTGTAGAACTTCATGGTCTTGTGTGGCTGGTTGAAAACCCTGACCTAGAAGGGGCTGGATCCAAACTAGAGAAGTCAGAATGGGCAGAGCTAACACTGAAATAACTAAGGCTTTAGCAAGTAACCTACACTCCTGTTGGCAGAGACAGCAGGCAAAGAGCTAGCGGGACCCGGACAAATGAAGGCAAACTCGGCAGAAGGACCACATGAGTTTGGGGAGGAAGCGGCCAATCTCCAGGGACTTCCCACGGAGCCTGTACTTCTGAAACGTTGGTGTGCACACCATTCCACAGGGGCAGCCTTGACCTGGGGAGGCTGAGCGCCTCTTCTGGTCGTACACCTTGCAACAACTGCAGGTGAACAAACCTGATTAATGCTGGCCCCCATCTTTTCCTCAGGCTGGTGGACAAGCCTCTGGGGAAGCCCACGCTAAGACCTTCCCGGGAGAAAACGGACCCTCGGCGTGGATGGGATTGTGCCCTTGGGAAAGCTGCCTAGCAAGTTTCAACATGTTCAGAACAGCATCACTGTGACACGGCCCTTCCAGCGGAGGTGAAGGGAGACAGTGCCACACAGACACATGCAGAGGCTCCCCCCCTGCAAGGCAGACCCGGAGGCCAGCAGGGGACATGCTCACAGGCAGGCAGGATAGTCAGTTTCGGACCCAGCAGAAAGAATCCATAATCAGGCCCATCAGGGAAGACACTGACTTCACTCTCACCTCCTTGCAGATGTCTGACCCACGGCTGCTGTGGGGAGGACCAGCCGGCAGCCTTTCCAGGGACTTGCATTTAGAAGGCGTGTCCACAGAATAACTTCTCTTTTTTTTTTTATCCTCACCCGAGGACATTTTTCCATTTTTTGTACAGATAGAGTGGGAGGGAGGGAAACATCGATGTGAAAGGGACACATTGAGTGGCTGCCACCCGCACGACCAACCAGGGCCGGGGACAAACTGCAACCGAGGTACGTGCCCTTAGCGGGAACCGAACCCAGGTCTCTCCAGACCACAGGCAGATGCTCCAACCGCTGAGCCAAACCGGCCAGGGCAAACTTCTCTTTTTTTCTTTTTTTAAAAATAAAGTTATTTAATAGTCTCCATTTAATTGGTTTATTTGTTGTAAATAAACTGGCAACACAGTGAGGGCCAAGGGCATGGTCCCAGGCAGGCTCCTGTTTGTCTGGGCTCAGGTAGGAGACGCTGCCCTGGGGCTAGAGTAGGACACCACCCTCAGTGCCCCAAGGGATGGGAGGAAAAGGTCCCTCACTTCTGGGGGCACCCCTTGGGATGAACACAGTGGCCAATGAGCAAACAGAACCAGAGGAGCTAAAGGAAAAGGAGGGAGGGAAATGGGTAGGCTTGGGGAAGGCAGCATTCTCTGGTACTCCCCACCTCTGCCCAGGGCTCAGAAGCCTTTGCCTGGGTCCTGCGGCCAGGGCAAACCTGGCTCAAAGATTGGGGGAGGATGCCCATTTCTCCCTCCCCACACAGAGAAGTTTTTCACAGGGACTACCTGAGGGTGGCTCAGGGTATCAAGGAGTGACCAGCTGGGGAACCCCTTCAATCTGTCTGAGTGAACTTACTCTCTCACTGCCCACTCAAAGGGACAGGAGTTTTGAGGTCAGTTTGCAGCTTGTCTTTCATCAAATTACAATGTGTCCTCCAGACTCCCCCAGAGAGCACCCCTGGGGGGCCTTGTCTGGGTTGTCCAGTCCCTACCTGGCCTGGCTGGGGTGTTCTGAGAGGGTCAGATGCCCAGGGAACTCTACCTTGCAGGTGGAGAGCAGGTCAGAGAAGCACCCTACTAAGGAGCTGGAGGTGGCGCCTAGGAGAAAGAGGGGTCACCGGGAGTGTGACAGGAAAGTCATCAAGAGAAGGATGGGTTCCTCCCAGGCAAGGAAAGATGGAGCAGAGCTGTGGGTCCCACAGGCTTCAAGGAGGGGATGAGGGCGTTTCACCACTTGTCGCTGTGACAGGCAGAAACCAACTCGCCAGTTGCTTAGACAAGCGAGGAGCTGTGGGCCCACATACTTGGGAAGCCCTAGATTCAGGCGTAGTTGGATCCAGGTGGTCCCGGGGTGTGGCCAGGGTTCTGCCTCTCCCCTCGCTCCACGCCACGCCATGGCAGGCTCTGTCACACAGGACGGGGCAGGATGGGTGGGTACTGGGCCTGACCACCCCAGATGGGGGAGAATAACTTAGATGCTGCCTGCACATCTGGGGCGTGGGGAGGGGTTGCTCTGGGACTCTAAGGGGGTCTCAGCTCTAACTGGCCAGCAGAGGTCACGTCAGGGAACAGTCTTTCCTCCGCAGGCATTGTGACTGCATCAGCTGGGTCACCCACCCAGTTACAGGGTTGGAGCAGGAGGTCCTGTGACTAACATCCCCCCAGAACCCTAGCAGCCCGCAAGCCCCCGAGAGGTGCAGTGGAGAGAACAAGGCCAGTGCCTGGGCTAGAGGGAGCCCAAGGACCCCATGCAGTGGGCGGCAGGCTTGCCCAGGACAAGGTACACATGGTCAGAGCAGAAGATTCTGCAACTGCTGAAGACCTGTGCCCATTTGCTGGCCAGTGACCCAGCCGCCCCCACACTCCCACTTCATAAAAGCTAGGAGGTCCCTTTGAATTCCATGCAGCGGAGGTCATCCTCCTAAAGGATCATTGTCCAGTGTCCCCAGGTCAGGCAGTGGGACCTCTGAGCGGATGTAAATGAGGGGACTCGCCCATCCTGTCACCCAGGTGCTTCACAGCTACAATCGCATCAGAACCCACACCTGCTCAGGGGCTCTGGGCTGAGAAGCACAGGACTGGAGAAGGTGAAGGCCCTACCTTCAGTCATTCGACCGCAGCCCGCAGCCCTGTCCCAGCACTCAGGGCTCCCAGCGGAGGTGGCCACACCTGGGAAAGGGGCTGCCTGCGCCATGCCCCAAGGGCTTTCTCTGGTTCTGAGGAACTGAAGGGCCTGTTCCGGTGGTCAGATGGGCAGCAGTGGCTGGTGGCTCAGGCTTTGCTGTCAGCCAGCGGGCTGCCCTCTGGGAGCAACACGGAACTGCCTCAGCCATGGCCTCCCTCTAGTCTCCAAGTGCCCAGCGCCAGCCCCAGGCCCGAGCTTTCTGGGAGCTGGGAGCCTCAGAGCAACTGCACCTGCTGTCCAGCTGGAGATCTGAGCACCCCAAAAGGCACTGGGGACAGGGCCCAGTTCTGAGGGTCCTGGCACGGTGGGCTTCCTGCCTCCCTGGCCATTGGCTTTGGCGCAGGGCAGCCACGAGAGGGAAGGGCGTGTCTGGTGGCTCTTAGGACTCGGCCCTGCAGCATCTTCCTCCCCATGGTATTTTGGCCCCTGCCCTGCTTCCTATGGGCACTGACCGGAAAGCCCTGCAGGCTTCAAAGAGTGGCTTCCTCAAACCCCCACCTCCAGCCCAGGAGGAGCATGGGAGGGGTGCTGATGAGAGCAGTGTCATGGGGTGTAGGGAGATACACCAAGGCCCATGGCCATGCACCCATCCCACCATCTTCCTCCCTCTGAACCTTCACTCACCACCACCACCCAAAGGCAAGCAGCCAGGTCAAGCTGCCACTGCCCCATCCCTGGGAGGCTAGGGTTTGGAGGATTTGGAGGACTGCCTCCTGTTCTCAGGCTGGGCTATGTCTGAGGAACTTGGGAGCCTGTCCCCCCAATGCTGGATAAAACCCCAGATCAGAATATCCTGTCAAGGCACACAAGCCTTCCCCTCCCATGGGGAACGCCCTTATGTTCGGCTGGTTCTGCCAAGGTGGGTGGGGGACGACAAAAGAGGAAGGTGAGGCCTTCAAAGGCCCATTCACAGGCCAAGTCAAGGACCAGAACAATCACAGGAAGGAGCTGGGTGGCGGGAATAGCAGCCATGTCCCTCAGCACCCACTGCCCACTCCTTGTAGCTGCAGGGGCTTCCTGCAGAAGTGGGGCCCTCATCTGTCCCAGCCCATGGCAGCTCCCATCCACACAACCTCTGTGATCCGTCCAGCCTGGCTGGGTGCTCATTCGAGCCCCTGTGGAGAACCACCCAGTCCAGGTCACTGCAGCTCGTGCAGACACCCCACTCCCCGAGGAGGCCTGTTCCAGAGTGGCATCTGGAAGATGATTCCGCACCTGGAAGGAGATGATGCCATATCTGCCTGAATAACGGGTTTGGGGGTTTGATCTCGGAAGAAACTAGAAACCGGAGGCTGGTGGCTCAAGAGAGGGTTAAACGCTCTTGAGCAGTAAGGCCCTGAGACTGGCTGAAACCTTATACTGCAGTTTCTTCTAAGTCCCACTCACTAAGCCCTTTCTGTGCCTGGACCTGGCAACAAAGCCCTGGCCAGAGAGCAGCAGGCAAATGGACCACACCCAGGTCATAAAGCAGGGACAGCCATCCTGCCTGAGTATTGTGCCCGGCTGGCTCAGCACATGCCTGGAGGTGCTTGTGGAGCAGTGGCTAGCTGGGAAGAGGCCCCACCATTCCGCTGGAGATCCGGATGGGCTGACACTGGTAGACACCACGCTCCCTCCGACTGCCGAAGCCTGTGTGGGTCCTTGGCCCGGGCTCCAGTCCCTGGAAGCTCCAGTCCCTGGAAGCTCCAGTCCCTGGAAGCTGGCTTTTGCCCTCTCTCTGGGCAGTTCTCAGGGACAGGGGAGGGTCTAAGAAGCAATAGTGTTGGGGAGGGGGGGCGGGCACGAATCCTGATTAAGAGGTCATAACCTCAGGAACCATGAGAATAGCATGGGGTGGCGGGCTCCCCATGGCCAGACCATCTGTGGCTCAGGGAAAGTCTATCTGCACAGGAAAAGGTGCTCCTGGGATTAACAACTCCGACTCATGGGATAAGAATGCTTTACTATGTAAAACTCGCACGGAGCCCAGGACCAGGCCCTGTGGTCTCCACCCTGGCCTGAAGTGCCAGGGTCACCTTTGGAGTGTGCAGGTGTACATGCTCATGACCCTGCGTGAGGAGGGCCTCCCTGGACAGTGGGCAATAAGGCACTGTGGCATCCCCAGCCTGAAGGTGGGTGGGGCAGAGTGAGGGCCCCACCTGCCCAGGTTTAGGGTCCACACAGGTCCACACAGTCCATCCCACTGTGGAACACATGGTAGATGCTGGTAGGAGGGAACATGGTGACAGCACCAAGCAGGGAGCCCACCTGGATGGCCACACCAACTGCCAGCAATGCTCGCTGCCCTCCACCATGCAGCAGGGAGCTGGCGGCCACCTTCACGTAGGAGAACAGCCCCAGACACAGCACCCACGACAGCACCTGGGGAGGCAGACACAGCAGCAGGCTGAGCATATGATGCCCCAGGCTCGGTGGCAAACTTCTCCCTTTGCTTCAGTGTCCCCAGTGTACTTACCACAAGAACTAGCCCCGCAGTAGTGCCCACTAGGGGTGGGCAGGGGCTCAGGACTGCCAGTGCCATCAGGTAGGCCCCAAAGAGCATGCCCAGCAGAGAGAGACCGCCCAACCATGCCAGAGACCTGCCAGGGGTAAGCAGAAACTCAGGGCTGGCTATCCCCAGCTTGGGTCCCCATCCCTAAGTTCCAACCTGATTGGCTTAAGGCCCCTTGTGCACCTGCACAGCACGCCCATGGCCAGGAAGCAGGCGAGGGGGTTGGCGGCACTGCCCAGCACCGCGGCCAGGTGGTAGGCCAGGCGCCCATAGGGCAAGCAGGAGAAGCTCTGCACGGCAGGCAACACGCCATTGGTCAGTGCATTGGTGATGGCCAGCAGGCTCAACAGGCAGGCACCACGGGCAGACAGCAGCCGATGGGCCTCCAGGTCTGGGCCAGGTGTGGTGCCTGCTGCCTGGAAAGGTGGCTCCTGCAGTGGTGAGGCCTCTTCCTCCTCTTCCACTCCTGGGGCTCCCACCTGAAGGCCAGGCCCTGGGCCCTCTCTGGTCATGGATGGTGGTAATGGCAACAGCAGCAGGAGACCCTGGAAGGCAGCAGCTGAAGTGACCAGAAGGGTGTCCAGTGTCCAGAAGAAGGTGCTGGCAGGAAAACGTTCTGGGAAGTTGTGGGGAGGGCCAGGGGTGCCATTGGTGGGGGCTGACGGGCACTCAAGGCGGCCCACACCCTGGGCCAGGGCCAGCACGCAGGGTAGAAGAGCACTCAGGCCTTGACCCAGAAAGAAGGACCGTAGAAAGGGAGGCGGCAAGCGGCTCAGGAAGGGCAGGAAAGTGACATTAGAGGCACAGCAGGCCAGTGCCAGCACAAAGGCCAGCGTCAGGAAGGCCACAGAGTGATACTGCCCTCCCACAGGTGCCACCTGCTGCCACAGTGGGGCCAGCAGGGCTGTGCCCACCACATTCAATGCCTGCACCACCTGGATGGGGACTTGCTCGCCTTTGCCCAGGGCCAGCCGTCTCCACAGTGTCACCACCAGCAGACTCAGGTTCCCCAGCGCCACAAGCACAGAGAGGTATGAGGGGAGGCTCCAACCTGCAGGGAAGGGAGGAGGCAACATCAGAGGCACAGTGCGAAAGGACAAAGCAGCTGCAGCCCACCTACCAGGGCAGACCTGGCCCGCAATTGCCTGCTCTCTCACTCACCCTCAGGAAGGTCTTTTACCACCACTGGTAGCTCAACCCAGATCCCATTAATGGAAGCCCAGGAGCCCATGCCGAAGAGGGCTACCAACAGGTGGGTCAGCACCAGACGGCCCAGTGGAGGTGCTGCCATTCAGCTAAGGCTGGGCTTCCCAGGACAGGGCAAAGGTCAGCTCCTCTTTCTCCACCTAGATCCAAAGAAGGTGGGTGCTTCTACTCTTCGGGAAATTGAAGACTTTTTCCAGCTTGAAGGAAACAAACGCAAATGCAGGGTCACAAGAAACAGACACGAGTCAGAAGAGGGCCAGAGAGCCAAGACTGGGGAAAGTGCACGTGCCCGGGATGGGGAGAAGGAGGAGCCTAAATATACCAAGGAGCACCTGCCTCGGGGGTGGGGACACAGCAAGGCGGAGAAGCACGAAGCCAGGCTCAAGGGGCCAAGGAGGGCTCCGAGGGAGGATGATCAAGAGGAAGCTCACTTCGGGTATGGGCTGCCGTGTCTACCACCACTTGAAACAGACACGGGGACAAGGGCCCCGTGACAGGGACACCCCTCCGGCGCCCCGCATACCTCTGCAGCGTTTGCGCCCCCCCAGGAGTCCGGAGCTTTCGCGATACCCAGGAGGCGGGAGCCAGTGGGGCTCTTCGGGAGTGTGGCCGCGACGGGCACCGCCCTCGCTGTGTCTGCTGGGCAGTGGAAAGCAGCCCAGGACCGGTCCAGCACCCGAGCGCTCCACGACCTAGCGACCGGCCGTCCCGCCACTCGGCCAGGCCGCCGCCTCCGGCCCAGGACAGTGGCTTCAGCCCAGAGCCGATGGGGCCGGAGAATGTGGCCGGGACAGAGCAAGGACTGCAACCCACCTGCCGGGACAGAAAAAAATCTCGGGCCGGCCCGCCCCACCGGAAGCCCCGCCCCGGAACTCGACACTGAGCCTGCGGGGAGGGTCTGGATCCGCCCCCGGGCCCACCTCTTCCGCCAACGGACTCCGCCCCTTCCGCTCGGATCAGTCCCTGGAGCGCTGCGAGCGGCTATGGCTCCGCAGGGGGCCCGGCGGGCCCGGGGGGCCCGGGGCCGAGTCCGGGCTAGGCCGCCGGCCGGGGCGCGAGCCCGCTCGGCCGAGGACTGGTGGTGGGACCGACTGGCGCCGAGCGGCTCCGGGTACCACCTGCTGCAGTCGGACAGCATGCTGCTTGTGCTGCCGGGGCCGGAGCCCGCCCGTGCCCGGGCGCACAGGCGCGCCCCCCGCCGCGCTCAGCGGCCGCCGCTCCCCGGGTCCCGTGCCGCCGGGGCCAAGGCCAAGCCCAGGCCCGCGCCTGAACCCGCGCCCGGACCCGCGCCGCAGCAAGGGCCCGACTCGGGCTGGGGCGACCGCATCCCTTTGGAAATCCTGCTGCAGATATTCGGGCTGCTGGTGGCGGCCGATGGGCCCATGCCCTTCCTTGGCAGGTACCCCGGGCCCACAGAGCGCAGCGGCCTGGTTCAGGCTGACCTGCTGCCATCGAGCGGGGGCAGAGGCCGAGAGCGTCTGAGCCTGAGCGCGTCCACACTAGTGCCAGAGAGCGTAGTCTCCCCGGGGTCCATTTGCAGCCCCACGCGCCTGATTTGAGCTCAAGTGTCCGTAGCGCTGTGAGAGTTGCGGCAGCCGGTGGGATGGCATCGGTCACAAAAGCCCCGGCCCTTCAGCAGAGATTTTCTTCCAGGGCTGCACGCGTGTGCCGCCGCTGGCATGAGGCCGCCTCCCAGCCTGCTCTCTGGCACACCGTGACCCTGTCACCTTCAGTGGCTGGCCGCCTCACCAAAACCGGGGCCAAAGCCGAGAAGAAACTCCTTGCTTCCCTGGAGTGGCTTATGCCCAATCGGTGAGGCTTTCCCTCTTTTCTTTATCCCCTCACTGCACCTATGTTGTGTGGGAAGTTCCAGGCCCCTTTCTGTTTTCCTGCACCAAGGTGATGGGTGGGGAGGACCCTGAAGAAGAGGCAGCGTGGGAACACTGTGCAGCTCTGCCTCTGCTGTACCCCCAGGTTCTCACAGCTCCAGAGGCTGACCCTCCTCCACTGGAAGTCCCAGGTACATCCCGTGTTGAAGGTGAGTGCTGGAGGCTGCTCTGCACACCAGCTGTGACAATCTGGGGTTGCCCACTACTTCCAGGGAGTGGGCCAGGCACCATGGAGCCCCACGCTGGCCCTGGGGATACCTGCCTGGTTCTCCGTTCCAAAACGGAGGTATCAGAAATAGGAGCACCCAAGTGGGCCTGGCATGGGCAGAAATGAGGTCATAGCTGGGGCAGTAGAGTGGCACCAGGCACTGGTTTCTTTCTCTTGTTGACCATAGTCTGCCCTCCCCCAACCCTACTGGATCTTTGTGTTCTGCAGCTGGCCAGCGATTCCTGTCCTCGGCTCACCTTCCTCAAGCTTTCTGATTGCCATGGTGTGACCCCTAACACTCTGATCATGCTAGCCAGAGCCTGCCCCCAGCTCCACAGCCTGGATATACAGCACTCCATGGTGAGCCCTGTGTCCCCAGGGGCCCTGAAGAAGCCCAAGCCAAGGTGACAGATACCCCTGAACTGGGTCCTCAGGTGGAGTCCACAGCTGTGGTGAGCTTCTTGGAGGAGGTAGGGCCCCGAATGCGCAAGCTGTGGCTGACCTACAGCTCCCAGACAACAGCCATCTTGGGTGCACTGCTGGTAGGTTGTTAACAGGCAGGGGCAGAGCAGGTGCTGAGCCAGGGACTGCCAGGCCACTGACCCTGTTCACCCCACCTCTACAGGGCAGCTGCTGCCCCCAGCTCCAGCTCCTTGAGGTGAGCACGGGCATCAACCGAAACAACACTCCCCTCCAGTTGCCTGTGGAGGCCCTGCAGAGAGGCTGCCCCCAGCTGCAGGTACCCGATGCCCCACCTCTCCCACCTGTCACCTCCCTCCCCATCTGCAGCCTGGGCCTTGCTCCCAGGTGCTGCGGCTGCTGAACCTGGTGTGGCTGCCTAAACCTTCTGGGCGAGCAGTGACTCCTGGCCCAGGCTTCCCCAGCCTCGAGGAGCTCTGCCTTGCCGGCTCCACCTGCAACTCTGTGAGCAATGAGGCCCTGGGCCGCCTGCTCCACGGCTCCCCACTTCTGCGCCTGCTGGATCTTCGAGGTTGTGCCCGAATCACACCTGCTGGCCTGCATGATCTGCCATGTCAGGGTTAGCTCTTGGGTGATGGGCGGGCAGGTGTGATGTGGGGACATTTGTCCACCCCACAACTCATGCCCACTCCTCTCATCTCCAGAGCTGGAGCAGCTTCATCTGGGTCTGTATGGCATGTCAGACCGGCTGACTCTAGCCAAGGAGGGCAGCTCCTTGTTGACCCATAAGTGGTGCCACACTCTGCGGGAACTGGACTTGAGTGGCCAGGGCTTCAGCGAGAAGGACTTGGAGCAGGCCCTGGCTGCCTTCTCAGGCACCCCTGGGGGCTCACACCCAGCCCTGTGCTCCCTCAACCTCAGGGGCACCCGAGTCACACCAAGCACAGTCAGGTCAGCACCCCCTCCCCCAGTCCCTTGGAGCCAGTATGGCAGCACCCCCCACCCCCAATCCTACCTTGCTTGCCAGATCCAGGGATCCGAAAGGGGAGCATATACTGGCCAAGCCCTTGTTTGGGGTGAGCCTTGGGGACACCAAAAGAACTGGAATTAGGTCTTGGTGGTTTGGGTGGCAGAGCCAGCTGCAGCACATGGGCAGAGAGGGCTCCCTAGCCTGGCTTAACCCTTCCAGGGTCTGTGTCTCCTGGGAGCCAGTGGCTGAGCTCCCCATGGCCTACTCTGCTCCCACAGCTCTGTGATCAGCAGCTGCCCTGGCCTGCTGTACCTCAACCTGGAGTCCTGCCGCTGCCTTCCGCGGGGCCTGAAGCGGGCCTACCGGGGCCCAGAGGAAGTCCAGTGGTGCCTGGAGCAGCTACTCACCAGCCCCCCCTCCCCCAGCTAGACACCCAGCCCTGCACCCTTTTCTACTTTTGGATGTTGGAGCATTTTGTTACAATAAAAAATTTTAAGAACTCTGTATGGCCCTTGGGTTGGGGTGAGGCAGTCATTCAGGGCTAGAGCTGGCCAAGAACCTGTGGTTGTTTTGGGGGGGTCCCCCAGGTATACTGAGTCCGCCTGTGGCTGTACCTTGCCTGCTTATGTGGGGCTGGAGTCCTGGATTAAGTGTGAGTGTGTCCCCCCCTCGGAGATGCCAAGGCAAGCTGTCTGGTATGAGAAGCTCTGGCCTGGGCAGACGCAATGGAGAAGGGAAGGCCCTGCACAGCCATGGGGTTTGGGGTGTCCTACCACCCCATTCTTCAGGCAAGGTTTTTAACCAGGCTGTACAGGGCCTCCCATGAGTGGGGTGGGACCAGCAGGGAAGTGACTGCCAACTGCAGGGACCTGGCCAGGGGACTCTTCTGAGAAGGGGTGGTCAATAGCACTGACCCTTCTAGAACCCAGCACCTTGAGCTTCTAGAACCCCAGTGCACCCACAGCCCACTCAACCACTACCTGGTGTCGCTTGGTTGCTTGTGGCCTGAGAGCTCCAGCTCCTCCCTGGACCGCAGCCCTGGACACTCTCTTCCAGGTGCGAGTGGGACTGGGCAGTAGGTGGTGGCAGATGAGCTACCCAGCTGACCGCTTATGTCTGACCCAGCCCCAGGCCCCCAAAGGCCAGATCAGCCGCCTTCCCTCGACTCTCCACAGCAAGCGCTTCCAGCTCTGGGCCCTAGGACTCTTTCGCACCGAGCGCCACCTGGCCAAGCGCCTCAAGAGCAACAGCTTCTACCCCTTCACGCAGGAGCTGCCCAATGGTGCTCACGGGCCAGGGTGGTGACCTGAGCGGGGTGGGGCCAGGGACCCAAAGGGGTGGGGGCGGGGGCGGGGGCGGGGGCGGGGGCGGGGCTGGCTCCTGCCCGGGGGCCCGCAGAAACCGCAGACAGGACGCGGGTCGAGGCCCAAGCCCTGACTCCAGCTGTCCTCACGCGCTCGCGCCATACCGCCCGCAGTTTTCGTGCTCGAATACTACCTGGACACGCTGTGGAAGGGGGCACTGCTCTTCGTTGTCTGCCTCTTCCTGATCAGCTTCAGCCTCGTGAGCCAGGTCTGAGGTCCTGGCACCCCAACCCAGTCCAGCTCCCCCGGGGGCCGCCACTCGAAGCTCCACCCCAGCCCGCTCAGAAGGTTCCTGCGGTGCCCACAGGTGCGGGAGCAGAAGACATGGGGCTTCCCTGCGTATGGCATGGGCGTGGGCCTGTGGATCATGATCTCATCGCTGCCACTGCGCCGCCTGGTGCTGAACCACACACTTGGCACGTACCACTTCTCCATCCAGGGCCACACGGTGTCTCAGGGCCCCATGCATCAGGTCTACGTGCGCCTGGCGCTCAGCTCTGACGGTGATGAATGGGTGGGGGAGGGTGTGCAAGGGAAGGGGTTGCCGCTAGGGCTAGGGAGCAGGGAGGGGTGGACAAGCCGGACCTCTGCCCAGTCCCCTGGAGCCCCATGTCCTGAAGCCCCCAGAGCCCTCGCCCCCTGGAGTCCCCAGATTGAACCGCGTGCCCCTCACCAGCCTACAGAAAGTGCTTCTTCCAACTGGTTCTGTGCGGCCACAAGCTGGAGCCGCTGGTGCTGGTGCAGCTGTCCCAGCACTACGAGGTGGGTCCCACCCTCGCCAGTCCCTGACCCAGACACACCGCTCTCTCTTCCTAGGCTCAAAATGACTTTGACTACTGCTTAGATCTTAGAATGGGGCCATTTCTCAGGCAGTCCTCGGCCCAGCCTTTGTGCTAAAGCCAGCGGAGAGGGCACTGGGGCTGACCAGCAAGGCTGGAGAGCAGTCTGGCAAGGGGAGGGGACGCCTCAGGAGGGGAGGCGGTGGCAGGTAGCAGGGCCTCTCCTGTCCTGGTGAGAGCTGGCCGCCACGCTCCCCCAGCAAATGGAATTCCTGGGCCGTCACATCGCCCGGAAGCTCAACATTAACTACTTCGATTGCCTGGCGACGTCCTACCGGCACGTGGTCCGCCACTGGCCGCTGGAGGCCGCCATCAGCCCGGGCATTGGGCGGCGTAAGACCGGAGTCTACAGGAGCGCTCAGTGGGATCAGGTGGACGTGTGATGCTGCGCCGGCACTCCACCCCCCTTCACGTCCAGGACCTTACTCTCCCTTCCTCTCCAATCTCGCACCCCCCACCCACCACCAGCCCTCCTGTCAATAAAGCTGCCGCTTGCTTCCAGTGGTCGTTTTCTCTCCAGGGATGGGGGATGCTCCCCCTCCAGGGTCTTCTTCTAGTGCATACCTCCCAGGGCCTCCAGGCTGCTGTCAGGAGCAATTCCAGGAGTCTGAGTTGAAAGATGTGGGTAGCGGTGGGCGCGAGGCTGCGGAGCAGCCAGGACTCCAGGAGGTGGCACCCATCATCAGGTAAGTGTGGGATGCACTGCCCCTCTTGGACAGCAGCAATGAACTGTTTCTACCTGGTCTCAGTGCTGACCAATGAGCAGAATTTAGGAGTCAGAATCTGATTGGTCCAATCTGGGTCAGGTGCCTGTTTCTGGTCCAATCAGCAATGGGACAATGGGATGGGGCACAGCCATAGGTCCAAGCCCTGTGCCTGGAGGTGAGTCCTGGACTAGACAGTCCCAAAGTTCCTGCTGCAGAACCCTAGTCCATGGATCACTGGGGCTGGGGGGAGACCCATGTCTCTTCTGGAACCCCAGTCTATGTTCCCTTGTCCAGTGGGTGTTCCTGCCTCCTGGGTGCTGGGAGCTGATGTGGGAGCAGAGAAGGCAGTGGGCTGTGGGGACCCAGAAGGAGTAGTGCCTGGCACTGTCCAATTCTCCTGGTTAGCATTCTCCCTCATATCCATGCTGGTAACTCAGGTCTTTGTGCTCCATGTCAGCTGAGTGTCCCTGGAAGCAGGGCCAGCTGCATAATTTGCAGGGCCTCATACAAAGTGAAAATGCAGAGCCCCTTGTTGAAAGTTAAGAATTTTCAGGAGACTGCCCTGGCTGGTGTGGCTCAGTTGGTTGGGCGTAATCCCATGCACTGAACGGTTGCCTGTTTGATTCCAGTACGGAGAAGGGGGTGTGCAGGAGGCAGGTGGTCAATGTTTCACTCTCACATCAATGTTTCTCTCCTTCGCCCTTCCTCCTCTCTAAAAATCAATAAAAAATATCTTTACATTTCTTTCCCCAAGAGATGACACTAGAGCAGGCTCTTCTGAGCTTGGTATCCTGTATGACTGCCCAGGTCACCTGCCCCTAGAGTTGGCCCTGCCCAGAACCATGGCTCAGAGTAGCTCATTGGTGGACTTACAGTCCCGAGGACACAAGCTCCCTACCTGTCTTCAGGGCAGGGTTTGGGGGCTGCTGGAACTGCTTTAGGCGATTCCAGGGAGCACTTGTTACTCATAGCACAAGTGTAGGGACTCCCACCCCTCAGAAGATGGGGCCTAAGCTGTCCCCAGAGTGACAGTGCCTGCCCAGCTTTTAGAAGGGGGACAGACTTGAGAGGGTGGACAGCACCCAGCAGTGAAGGCCTTGGGACAGGTTGGGGGGAAATGTGGTGGGGGAGGTGAGGAATATGGGGTGTGGGCCATGGGGCTAGGCTGGCTGGGTGATGCCTTATGGCTGAGCTAGATCACGGTGCCCAGGCTGCCTGTTAACTTTGGACAGGAGTTAGAAGGAACCCATTGGGCTCCAGGAGATTGCTCAGGTTGGTCTATAAGGCTTCAGATTGGGGACTCAGTTTCACCCAAGCAAGCAAAGTCCCTGCCCTCCTGAAGCTGATGATTGATCTCCAGCGGCATAAACTAACTTCTACACTCCAGGAGTGTGGGGTCCCTCTAGTAAAGGGTGAGGCAAGGCCTTCCTGAGGATGCAGCATTTGAGTTCATGCAAGGAGCTGGGGTTCTTGTGGAGGCCTGGGGAGAGGGCATGATGCAGGACTGAACTGGACCTGTTCAAGAAGCGGCAAGGAACCCTGGCCAGTTTGACTCAGGGGTTAGAGCGTCGGCCCTTGGACCGGAGAGTCCCAGGGTTCGATTCTCACTAATGGCACATACCTTGGTTGCAGTTCGTCCCCGGCACTGGGTGGGGTCGTGTGGTTGGCAACCAGTGAATGTGTCTCTCTCACATCAATGTTTCTCTCTCTCTCTTCCCCCGTCCTCCCCCCTGCTCTATCTGAAGACAAATGCAAAAATGTCCTCTGGTGAGAATAAAAAAAAGAAGAAGTGGCAAGGAGACTGGCTGGTCAGAAAGGAGAGGGCAGAAAAGAAGGAGTCTGTAGTTCTTTGCAACCAGAAACCACTGGGAACTGTAAACAGTGATGCACTATAATCCTGGAGGGAGTGGGAAGGGGCAGCAGGTTTCAGGAACCGAGTAGAAAGAGAAGGGCAACTGGGACTCCGGAGGGGGTCGAGGGGAACAGAGACGACCAGGGGCAGATATGAGCTACATTTTGAGGCCACAGCAGACAGGATTTGCTGGTAGGCTGGACACAGGCAGAAAGGAGAATAATTCAGGGTGAGTGCAGGGTTTCTGGCCTGGGCAATGGGTCTGGGGTCAGGGGGAGGAGAGATTGAGGAGTCAGGAGTTCTGTGGTTAGGGGAGGTTTTAAGAAGTCAGGGAGGCACCAAAGAGGAGAAGGAGCAGGAAGCACAGATAAAGAACTGACATCCCAAGAGAGGTCCTTTAGGCCAGGGTCCTGATGTCCCCTGAGCCCAACCAAGAGATCTTTATTATGAAGCAGGTGACAGAGGACATTTTTAGGAAAAAGGTTCTTGGCTGGGCAAAAGAGGAGGGGACTGGGAACACATAGGATTGCCAGCAGGCTCTCTTTGCCTATCCTACAATTGTTCCTCAAAAAGACCCCCTCCATGTTTACCTAGGTATATGGTCCCACAGAATAAACACTGCATTTCCCAGCCTCTCTTGCAGACAGATATAGGTGATATTGAGACTAATTCCTGGCCAGTGCAATATAAGAATAAGTATGTCAAATTTCCAAAGGCGTGCTTAAAGGGAGAGGCTTGCATATTTCTGCCATTTTCTTCTTTCTGTGGTCTGGAATGCATCCGTGATGGCTGGCGCTCAAACAGCCATCTCAGACCACGAAGTAGAATGCATGTGTTGAGAAAGCAACAAGATGGAATTGTGGAGCCTGAGGGTTGTGCAGCTGACCGGCCAATGCTGGACAGCTTATGTTAGACTCTCCACAGAAGAGAAAGATGTCTGCAGTTTAAGCTATTGCTACTTGGAGTTTTCTAACATTTGCAGCCAAACCCCAGATTCTAACTAAAAAAGAAGGTTATTGCCCTGCCTGGTGCGGCTCAGTTTGTTGAACGTTGTCCCATGCATCAGAAGGTACCTGTTTGATTCCAGTCAGGGCACATGTTGGGGCTGCAGGCTCGATCCCCAATAGGGGACATGCAGGAGGCAGCTGATTTCTCACGTCAATGTTTCTCTCTCCCTCTCCCTTCCCCTCTCTCTCTCTAAAATAAATAAAAACATATATTTTTTAAAAGGTTATTAACTTTGTGGGGGTGAAGGTAGAGATGAGAAGGTTTCAAGGAAGGAAGACAAGGTGTGAAACAGTCTTTGCCAAAAATGGAGATTAAATGGATGAGGAATGTCTGGTAGATTGTCTGGCAGTGTTGACTGGGTAGCTCAGTAGGTTAGAGTGTTGTCCTGATACACCAAGGTTGTGGGTTTGATCCCTGGTCAGGGCACATACAAGAAGCAACTAATGAGTGCATAAATAAGTGGAACAACAAATTGTTCTCTCTCAAATCAATAATAATAATAATAAAAAAGACTGCCTGGCAGTGTGCCGAGCTATCTGACATGTGTGTTATAAATTTAAAGGGCCAGTAAGCATGATTTTCTGTTCTTCTCTAGAGAAGTTTTGGTACTTGGATGCAGGTGTGGAGTGGGCAGACAATTTGGTCTAACAAGGGTTGGGGCTTAGCCTGAACAATATAAGAGTGTGTGTTGGGGCGGGGGGTGGGGGATATGGAATGATGATAACTGCGGACCATGGGACCAAAGCTGGGAAGGCAGGGAGGGAGGACAGACATTGAGGGTGAAGGACAAGGGGCTTCAGTTTTGTTTTGTTTTTATCCTCACCCAAGGACATTTTTCCATTTTTTGTTCAGGTAGAGTGGGAGGGAAAGAGAGGAACAGAGAGAGAGAGAGAAACATCGATGCGAAAGGAACACATCGAGTAGCCGCCACCCACACAACCGACCAGGGCTGGGGACAAACTGCAACCAAGGTACGCGCCCTTAGCGGGAACCGAACCGGGTCTCTCAGGACCGCAGGCTGATGCTCTAACCACTGAACCAAACTGGCCAGGGCGGGGCTTCAGTTTTATATTGCTACATAACCAGCCACCCTAGACATAGGGCTTGAAATGCAAGGACCTCCTCATTCTCACAGTTTTGTGGGTTGGCTGGGGCTGCATTTAGTTGTGAACTCAGCTGGGACCAGAATGTGCAAGATGGCCCTGTCCTCGAGGGCCTCTTTCTAAGTGTCCTGTCATCTTTCAGCAGGCTGTCTTACTGCTGTTTTCCAAGGGGGGGGGGGAGTGTAAGAGGAGGACGAGCCCCAATGGGCCACCATCCCATTAAGCCTCTGCACTCATCACTCATACCAATGTCCCAGTGGCCAAGCCCAGAGTCAGTACAAAAGGGGTCTACTAAGTGGGTGACCACCAGGAGAGCCATGGGAGCCATGAATGTCAGCAGTCCACCCTCTGGCCCCTCCCAAGACCCCCAACGTCTCATTGCTTCACAGCATGATGTAGGCCTCAAGGGTCTTGCATCTAAGTCAGGTCCAGATGAGGTTTCTCAGGTGTCCTTCCCTGGGTGAGCCCACCTGTGTGGGTCTTCAGGGCAGAGACCTATGAACTAAAAAAGCAAGTTCTCTGTCCCTACACACACCATGTACGTTACTGAGACAGGGTCAGAAAATCTTCAAAATGATGTATCTGTTAAAATATTGAGGGAATCTGTCCTGGCCAGTTTGGCTCAGCGGTTAGAGCGTCGGCCTGCGGTCTGGAGAGACCCGGGTTTGGTTCTCGCTAAGGGCACGTACTTCGGCTGCAGTTTGTCCCCGGCC